TATATATATATATATATATATATATATATATATATATATATATATCAGCTTTAGAATATTTCAAATAATTCAATTACACGAACATTTTTATAGGATATAAGAATATATGAGAATATAATAAAATTGCCTTTGTTGTACAAAAAATTATTTTTAAGTAAAAAAACAATCTGTCTACTAAATTTCATATTTGTGTTGGCTGAGTACGCAACAATACTAATGCTGTTTAACTTTAATTATCGATAGGCGGCAATTAAAATCTACATATTCATTAGTGTTTCAAAAAAATCGATTAATTTTTTTTTTAAAGAACATTAAATAATCTTCAGAGTATCCCTAGAAAAGGACCCTGTTAAAAGATGAGCTCTTAATATTAATATTTAGAGGTGGCAATTCGCAAATTTCGATTTCTCATTTGAATAACATGGGAAAAAATTTTTTTTAAAATTCGAATTTTCTGACTCGACAACCATTTGCTGTTCAAGGATGACCAAGACATATTTTTGTAGGAAAAAAAAGGTCTGAATGAAGATTTGCGTAAGTTGAGCCATTTCGGAGATATCAAGTCTTAAATGTGGAGTTTTTCAAAATTATGAATCTATTCACTTTTAAACGCAACAAAACAGTTCTTTGTTAAATATTAATATTATGAGCTCATCTTTTAAGAGGGCCCTTGTCTAGGGATACTTTGACGATTTTTCAATGTTCTTTGGAAAAAAAAAAAAAATAATCGATTTCTTTTTAAACACTCTAATATTTATGCATATTAATAGCGCCACAAAAAACAAGTTAGAGATTTTTTCGAGTTATACGTATACACAATACATTTATTTTTAAAGTAGCATGTATGCGTACACCTATAGGTATAGCTAATAGGCCTTATAGTTTCAGGAATTTTGACGTTAACATTTTTAAAAAAGGGTAAATCTATTATTTTACCCTTTATTTTAAGTATATTGGTTCATTATCTTTAATTCATCCTGAATAAAAATTAAATTATAAACTAATTTTCAAGTCTTTAAGTTTTCTTGTAAACTATAAGAATTGTAGTATATTTATATTATATTACCTCTATCAAGTGTCCATCCCGGAGGATACACAAAAATACAAATTTTTCCTTCCAAAGCCATTCTCAGAAGAGAATTAGCTGCTCGATATGTATCAAATTTTCCAGTTCTAGCAGTCATATAATGTCGTTTAGCTGCCCAACTATCACATATATCCATAGCTGACCAAGCATCATCATTTTGTTGATGTTGAATTTTAAGAATTTTAGGAAGATCTATTCGCTGAGCAAGATACTTGACGACAGTGTAAGGTTCTCGAACTTGAGAAATGGGAAAAGAACCCATCAAAATTTGAAGTTGTTTAGGCACAGTTGATGGGAATACAAGTCCCGGACAATCACAAAATCGCACATTCTCAGTGAGAAATATAGTTTGAAAGTGTTTGGTATGACCCGGGGTCCGTGACACACTTACAACTTTATTACCTATTGTAGAAAAAGACGTAAGAATAAATAGCATTTTTGTGGCCATAAATAAAAAACTAAAATTTACCGATAACAGCATTCATAAATGCGGATTTTCCAACGTTAGGGTGACCAATACATCCAATTGTCAGTGTCCCATTGGCATATTTATCATGTTTAACAAAACTCGTATCATTTTTTTCTATTATGATATTATCTTTTCGATTAGTATCACAATCATCATCTAAATTAATTTCTTTGTTTATTTTTTCTTGCCAAGAACTCAAATCAACTTTATCAAGTACTATTTCTTGGCACTCTTTTAATAATGCTTGAGCTCCTTCTGAAACCATTCTCAATTTTCCTTTACGTTTGTGTCGATTCAAAGTAGTTTGTCTATTAAGAGTTTCTTGTAAATTTTCAACTGGATAAGATGTAAAATGAACTATTCGTAGTTGGGGATAATGTTCAGAAAAATATTCACGCCAAGCTAAGACCAACGCAGGCGGGGCTAAGTCTACTTTGTTAATTACTAAAATTACTTCTTTTTTTAAATCATTTGTTATGTAATTATAAAGATATGGTGGAAACATTAACACAGAATAGCGAACATCAACAAGTATTAATAATATATCAGACATTTCTAAAACCCTCCATAGTTGCCGCCACGTTTCTAAGTTGAGCTCAAAATAACTAATTTTACCCAATGTTTTTATCTGCTCTATATATTGCTGAAAATAAAACAACGGACATAAATATTTTGAATAAAGCATAAAAATAAATCTTAATGAATATGATTCTAAAGTTGGTGTTCTGAATGGTTTTTTTCATGTTTTACTTTGTGTTGAGCACCAACTTTTTGATATAAATTATAAATTTAAAAATATTTATACCGTAAAATATTCATGCTCTCTCATATCTAATTGTTCTTTACTCATATTGTAATCCCATTCTGGCCGTTTAGGCATATCCAAATGAGGTGGAAAATAATCATCTGAGATTTCTTGGTCGCTTAGTGGTAAAAATTCAATAGTCTTACAAGCTTCAATTTTGCGTTGTTTTAATTCTTCCGTGGATTCTTTAAAAAATTGAAGATTAAATCTATTTTTATCATTGCTATTTGTAGGCTGCTTATTAATCTTTAATACTGTCGAATGTTCTGGATCACTGTCATCTTGATGTATTAGAAAAAACAAAAATTATTAATATAAATAATCAAAATTTGAATAGCTATAATCAACCCTGGTGAAAATTTTTCGGACTTTTCTCTCAAAAACTCTGGAGAAGTCTTTAGAACTTAAGATAAGTCTTTTTTCAGAGTTTTTCAGAGAAAAGTCCGAAAAATTTGTACACGGGAAAGTATTTTTTACAAACCAGATACTTCATTACGACTTTTTTTTTTAAGTTTCATTTGTTGTTTTTTTGCTTTCCCACTAAATGGAACTTTCTTTCTTCCCTGTGGCATAATTATGAAACGATATCAAATTAAATAATATGTTGTCAATTAGATAAACGTTATTTCCAGACGAGCATCAACTTTTCTTTTGAATAATGAGTATGTACATACAACTGTTTTTAGGGGAGGCAACTTCACTGAAGATCAATGCAGATTGACTACTTCGCTTGGAATTTCTCAACTTAATGCCATCTCTACGAAACCCGAGTAAACTTGCATCATTCGACTATTTAGAAAGTGGCTCTACCTTACGTCTACTTTCGATACATACACTATCAATAGATAAAGGAAAGATTGAATATGACAATATCTGATGGCCACAAATCGCAGTAAACCAAGCGGTGAATTTAAAATATGAATTAAGTTCACTTGATTTCACTTTTTGTATTTAGCATTTTTATTTAATATAGATAAAACGTCATTTTATGTAAACAAAAAAGTAATTTTAACGAGTTAATAACAAGTCTATGGGCTTTGCATCTACAATAAGAAAAAAAAATAAATTAATTAACAAACGAGTACGAATAAATCTCTCTTTCAATAAAATAAAATATAAACTGTGAAGCGTTGTAAGGGCCAGTTTTTCAATCCAGGATAAAATTTTATCCAATGATAAAATATATCTATATATTTCATATATATAAATATACTGGCCATGATAATAATACTTTTATACTGGATTGAAAAACTGGACCTTAAGGGTTATTGTAAATTAGTTAAATAAATAAATTTCAATCAATAATATTTATTGTGCTTGACTTGTAAAATTCGGATAACTATTTTGATGTATGTATAGCTCCATCGTTTTTTGACCAAAAAAAATCGACCAATTGAGTTATTTGGTCCAATATATTTGGATAGTCATAATTCATAATTTATTTATCTTACCGAATTTCATCATAATATAACACTTATTTAAATAATAAAATAAATAATGATTTTACTATTACCTAGTAGCAGAGCAGACAAAATATCTCATAGGAAATGTGACAAATTTTGTATTTCAGAATTATTTAAACGTAATTATAAACATCATTTTACACTTTTTGTGATTACCAAAAAAAATTTTTTTTTCAAAGAAAAAAGTTTTATGTATGTTAATTATATATAAGCATATATAATTATAAATGGGACTATGTACAATCTTGCATAGCTGTATATTGCTCCATATATAGTAATATATAATTATATATGATTATATATAACCTAACATACAATTCCATATATAATCATATATGATTATATACAATTATATATGATTATATAGAAAAATTTTTTCTCGGG